CTTACTGTGACTTCACTAGACGATGTCTTCTTACAAGGAATAAAGTGCGCCATCTTTGTAAGCCGATCTACCACGACAAAGATGCTGTCAAATGAATTCGATGATGGCAGATCCATGATGAAGTCCATGGAAACTGAAGACCATGGTCGACGCAGAATCAGCAATGGCTGTATGAGTCCATAAGGACGATGCCAAGGATTCTTGGATCTTGAACAGATGTCGCAGAAGAAGACAAAATCTTTCACATCCTTTCACATTTGGGGCCACCAAAAATCTCGAGAAATAAGCTCCAAGGTCTTGTTGAATCCAAAATATCCCGCAGCTAGAAAATCGTGGCAAGATTGAAGAACTCGGAGTCATGCTGGTCCTTTTGGGATATACAACCCCTCCTCAAAGTATAAAAGATCTCCCTCCACCTTAAATTTGTCGTCATTGGCATGTTGCTTGATATCAATGGCTACTGAATCTTCAATGGTCACGGCACGTACCTGATTCAAGAAGTCAGCATCAATTGGCACAATAGTAGCGCAAAGCCAAAATTGCTCTAGCTTCAATAATGCCATACATTGTTGATCAAACGCTGCTTCTCCAGCCTTTGGTATAAGATACGATCTCCTCAATAAGGCATCAGATAGTCTTTACTGCTTTCCAAGTCGATAAGTGATAACAAAATCAAACCTAAATAGCGACATATTCCATCGAGCTTGACGTCGATTTAGAACTCGAGCCGACATGAAATATTCCAAATTCTTGTGATCTGTGTATACGGTCACTTGATATGCAGCTCCTTCAAGAAAATGATGTCATTCTAGGAAAGAATCCACTATAGCAAGAAGTTCCTTATCGTGGATCTCATAATTGATTTCAATAGTAGAGAACTTTCGAGAATAGAATGCAATCGGATGGAGCTTCTTGTCTTCTCCCATTTGTGAAAGTACAGGTCCCAAAGCAAAATCCGAAGCATCAGTTTCTAAATAAAAGGCCTTTGTAAAGTCTGGATGTACCAAGATTGGAGCCGTAGTAAATGCGATCTTCAGGCCTTGAAATGCCTTCTCTGCTAGATGTCTCCATTCCAGCTTATCCTTGCATGTCAATCGAATGAGAGGAGCAGCAACTTGAGAGTAATTTTTGATGCATATTCGATAGAAGTTGGCAAAACCAAGAAAGCATTGTACATCTCTAACCATCTTCAGAACCTCCCAGGACATGATTGCTTCCACCTTCTTGGGGTCCATCTTCAAGCTTTTCGTAGTCGCAACGAACCCCAAAAACTCCATCTCTATTTAGTGAAATAAACACTTCTTCAACTTGGCATATAATCCTCGCTCACGTAATTTCTCCAAGACCAAACGAACGTGCTTTTCATGCTCTTCCTCATTTTTGGAGAATATCAGAATATCATCCAAATAGATGATGACAAAATCGTCAAGGTGCTCTCGAAAAATATCATTCATCATATGTTGAAAGACCACTAGAGTATTGGTAAGACCAAAAGGCATGACATTATACTCAAAATGGCCATACCTTGTACGGAACGCTGTCTTCCATTCATCTCCTTCCTTGATTCATACGAGGTTGTAAGCTCCCCTTAGATCAATTTTTGTAAAGATCCTTGTACGTCCAAGTTGTTCTAAGAGACCAGAAATCAAGGGTAACGGGTAACGATTCTTCTTTGTTACCTTGTTGAGGCCTCGATAGTCCACACACATCCGTAATGAGCCATCTTTCTTCTTCACAAATAAGATGGATACTCCACCTGACGGTTTTGAATGACAGATGAAGTTCTTGGCTAGATTCTCGTCGATGTACTTCCGCAACTCCGCCAACTCCATCTGCGATAGATTGTAGATTGGGCCAAAAGGCGGTTGTGCTCCTTCCTACAAGTCTATGGCGCAATCATATGGTCTGTGATCCGGTAGCATGTCAGCATTCTTCTTTTGAAACACGTCTTTAAAATCCTTATATTGCTCCGGTATACTTACTGTCAAGATCTTCTCCCCAGTAGTTGGAGCCGCATAAATGACAAACGGTGTGCCTTCTTTGGACGATCTTATAAACGCTATTGCTCCAATGAATAAAGATTTTTGTATTCGGGGTTTTCTACTAGGCTTGCTCTTGGGTGGTTTTGTGGGAAAGGTCATCTTGCGCAACTTCCAATCTATGGATGGGTTATGCTTTTCCAACCAAGAAAGACCAAGAATAACAAGATTTGATGCGGTTCTAATAATATTGAAAATAATATGACTACTATGGCCCTTAAACGTCACTTCTGTAGGTTCTGATTCATAGGTGACACTACTAGACAATAAAGGTCACTCATCTATGACCTCAACGTGAATAGGTTTGGATTTTTGTACTAAAGGGATCTTATAATGCTTCACAAATTCTTCGTCTAAGAAACAAACAGATGCTCCTGAATCTAATAATGCTAAGGTTCTCAGTTTCTGAGGGCCAATAAGCAAAGGGATTGTAAAACAAAGGGCAGGTTGAGCGGAAAGAAAGGAATCTGGTTGTTTTTGCAATATTTCACTGTCCAGCCACACGGTTCCTATTGTGGCTAGGCATCCTCGTTTTCTTGAACAAACGCACCCCTAGTCCTGACAATACGTCGATTTTGCTTCTTGAGGCAGTTTCCAACTTTGTGGCCTTCTTCACCGCAATACAAGCATAGACCTTCTTCCATACGCCGCTTTTTTTCTTTTAGAGTAAGGGATTTGACATATATCACATCAATTTGCATGTCTTCTATCTCTGAATGTGAATTCACGCTGCTTGACGACATAGTTGGGGCATGGCGAACCGTATGTTGTCTTGAACATTGGTCTTGGCAACATTGGAATAGGTGGTTATCGCACTTCACAGCTTGGCTAATAGCTTCGTTGAGTATTTGCGGATCAGGAAGAGTTAACATCAAATCCTTCACATCATCCCTTAAATCCCAATAGAATTGACTCATCAACGCTTCTTTGTTCCAATTGATGTTGCATGTTAATTGCCTGAAGTCCAATGCATAGACTGATGTAAAGCGCATCCCTTGTCATAGTGACTGGATCTTTGTTGTAGCTCATTGAACCTTGTCGTGTTCACCAAATGCTTCCGCAAACGACTCCAAAAAGTTTTCAAAGTTGTTTAGTATGGACGATCGTTTCTCAAACAAAGGAGCAAACCATGATAGAGCTTGCCTTGTAAATAAGGTTCCAACAAGCCCAACACATGACTCCTCCATTGGATAGCGTTTGGGCTATAAAACTGTTATCAACCTGATTTGGTTGACGAATCCTCGAAACTTGGAACGCGTACCATTGAACTTGTCCGAAAGGCTAACTCGGGGCTCCTTATATTGTAGAACCAGCGGTGCTTGTCAAACCTGAGGCAAAGTTGCTTCTCCAAGTGCAGAGGTTTGAGGCTCGTGCAACCTAGATTGTGCCATCCCAGATGTTCCATCATTATGAAGCCTTGCCACGACTCCTTCAATCTCTGCAGTTCTTTGCGATAACGTAGCGAGGGCATTCATGATAGCATCCAACTTGGACTCCAAACTTTTCGTCATACTAATATCTTGGCCCCCAGCCATTCTAAGAGAAAGACAGAAATGACTCTACAAGAAGACAATATTGGTTTAGAGGAGGGTACTCCGCAACCTCTAAAATGCCTTAAGAGCTTCAAAAAAAGGGGTAATCCACTCTCTCCAAGAAGAATAAAACTCCAATATTGTAACAAAAGAAATATCAATTTAGAGGAGGGTAATCCGCAACCTCTAAAATGCTAGTACACTTCCAAGCAGAGGGATAATCCACACTCTAACGAGGAAGAAACTAGCTCTGATATCTGAGGTGAGTGAAGTCTCGATAAACTATCACAGACACAAAAATACAAGCTCGAGATCTAACAAGAAGTTCAAGAAGAACTCGCAAGAAGTAGATTAATGAGATGAATATAAGAACAACACCAGAGAGGTGAGCTAGAGCTCCAAGAGATGTGTTGTTGAGACTGAAGAACTCTTCAGCCTCGATTCCAATATATACTCCTATTTAAGAAGCTTCTCAAGCAACTTCTACCAACTAGGAAGCTTCTAGAAGGTTCCAGAGACTTGCTTCTAGAAGGTTCTAGAAACTTGTCTCTAGAAGATTCTAAGGACTATGTCTCTAACAGAAAGATACGTATAAATATAAATAAATGTGTATATTCATTGTACAAAATTTATTTTTTTGTAACATAATAAGAAGTCAATATGAAAATAATAATATTTGTGATTTGGTATAATCTCAAACTACCTTAAGATGGTTAATTGAATCCAAAGCTTGTAAATTAGCATTATTAAGGTTAGAAATCCATATTCTAGTCATAAAATTTCAATCATGTTTGATGGATCTTTCTACAAGGTTTATTCTTGTGTCAAAATTATATATACAATATCATAGTAAAATATTTTAAAGACAACTTGCATCACTACTTTTATCTTAAAATTACAGGTTTAGTAAAAAGACTAATCTAATATTTAAATCAATTATTTAAATCCATTATTTTCACACGTTTTCTGAACTCGTCTACATTATAATATTAGAGGGAACATTGCACAAACAACACAATTGTTTTGCAATCTCTCTATCTACAAAACATAGTTGCCATTCATGCCTCTAATCATTCTGCACCTAATTCACTAATACTTTGTTTACATCACATTTCACATTCAACTGTAAAGGCCTACTTGATAAAAAATTATCTAGCTCTACTCTGTCCTAAAATTGAATTATGAATGAGGTTGAGTTCTAGAACACTAAGAGTTTCTTGCCCTGCAAAGTCGGGTTTTACTTTGAGTTCAGTAGTTGTAGGACAAGGAAATACGTTGTATATGTGTTACTGGCATTATGTGTTAGAGGCTAGGTTGGCCACAAAAAATGGTCGTATAATACACTGAATTAAGAGTAACCTCAACCTATTATTCAACCTTCAGTATTTGTGAGTTGAACTGCAAATTGTAGAATGTTAAGACCAGTAACTAAAGACGTGAAAATAATTTGTATTTAAACGCATTTTAGGGAACAGCATGATATCCGTGACAAACGAGGCTACGAGACCCTCAGTTTCTTTTGTTGTTCTAACACCTGATAAAAAGAAGAAACAATCGAGAACACAACCCTTGAAATCAGATTTGAACAAGAAGGCTAAGAACTCTTGGTAAAGCTAAAGAAAGATTTACTATGAGACACTGTCAGCCAAAGCACCAAGCATATAAAGTGCGTCAAAACGAGCACTGTGGAGATCAATTCCTTGGAAACCACCATTTATGCATGTCTGAATGGTTGAAGGTGTAAAACACTGAAGTTAACATAACTATCTCGGAGCATAAAAAGCCTTGACTCTCACTGTTTTAAAGTCAACATGCAATGTAATTGAAATGCAGCAGGCCCTCAATAGTAGCGAGAACATCACCACACAAAGCATGTTAACCTCCAAAGTCCTTTGCTGCAAACTTGTCTTCTGGGTAGAACACGGCAACTACCAAGTTCTCATCGAATCTTCGCCCATGGAGTGATGTCTTCGCTTTCGTAGCTCCAGTTGTATCAGAATAATCAAGAAAAACCTGGAACGTTTGATCAAATATCAAAAGACCTCCCTTGATCTCATTCATGTACGCATATTCAGAATACACAGTTGAAAACTGGGCTCAAAAAAAGCATCACAGTACAACTCAAAAGATTGAGGTTTAGAGTACAATTCACACCTTGCCGAGACCAGGAACAGTTTCACCAGCTCTAGGCCTTGGGATGACAACATTCAGTAGATTTCCTGCAACCAAATACAAGTCAATACACGCTCCAAAAATGTGAACTGTTGCAGTTAGATCCGCAAAAGCAGTCTCAGAAGATCACATGAACTTGATAAAAACTGGACCTAGTTTCTATTCGATCACTTCTCAGATACATACCATACTTTCCGCACTCCATCCTCATATCTTCCAGAATTTCCTGGTATTCTTCATCATCTTCCAGCTGATTGGGTGTTACAACCTGAGCATAGAACGTCCAAGCAGCTTCAAAGCAATTAGCATCATTAAAAGCCACAAAAACATTTCAGAAATTAATAAAGAAAGATAATAATTTAAGACGATAGGTTTCATTGACTTCTTAAGGAGCTACGAAAACTTACTTCCGTCAAAGCAACGACTTTGGTAGGAACCTCTGCTGGAAGATCATTTGTCATCCCAGTCATCATGGGAAACATTGACATACCACCTAAAGCCACACCCTGCGCGCCACTGGCTTGCAGTGCATCTACAAGCAAGTGTTTCTGAACATCAACAAGTACGACTCATTAGACACATTAACAGATAGTACACTGGCTTCCATGAAGTATGATACGAAAAGTAAAATGCTTTAGTACGGTAGCCATTTCTTAGTTATTAACCGAAAGGTTTGACCACTGGATTTCTAAATGGCAAAGTAGGAAAACAAATTAAGACGGATGTAGTTATCAATTTGACGTAATTCTTTAGTGTCAAAAATGCTGTCTCGAGTAAAGACAAACCACCCGTGAACGTCTTTCTATGTAAGAGCATTTTCAAAGTTACCTGCAAAGCAATTTGCTGTTGTGCATGTATCAACACATTTGCTTGATCGGGCTTCGGCTGACCACTACAACAATACACAAGGTTAAACTTAAACCAATGTTCAAAAACTTGGAAGTTCCTCCTCACACATCATTGGCTACCCAAACAAAAGCCTACAAACATAAATATATCCCTTGACTTTTGAAAGGACCCCTTAAACCTATTTGTGGCTCAGCGGACGTTTGAGGTCCAGTCATTTCTATCATTCACATCTTGCGAAACGAAGAACAGATGAACAAATACGTGAACAAGAAAAGCAACATTCCATACCTGGCAGATGCTCGACGTACGCTGAGAGTCTTATCGCCCATTTTCAAACCATTAAGTGCCGCAATAGCAACGTCTGTGGTAACAGACGGATCCTGCAGGTAGAGTGGTTGATCACCACACGCAAGTTAGCAACAAAGGCGTCCACGATTTTTGGAAGTATTGAAGTCTACTCCTGGTACAACTCTTATGCTTAGAATCAAAGACTTAACCATAATTACGACATTTGATGATCACCATTAAATTCTACGACGTGAGGAATTATACAGGGATATCGATAATTGATTCGAGATAAAACGCAGGAAACTCAAGTGGAGAACCATCAAAATTAAAATCTAAACCATATTCCAAAAACATACCTGATAAACACAGAATCCATAACCTTTGGAGTTCCCTGTATCACGGTCTTTGACAAGATCAAAGCCTCGCAGAGGTCTATAAAATACAAAATCAAACAGAAAGATCAGTTTATTCCTAATCTGCGACAATCAGGATGTAAAGACCAAGTTAGCACTGCTGCTCCACACAATGCCCTAACGTAGCCTTAATTTCCACAAAATGTAAACAAACAAGTAAGTTAATGACGGCCTTATGTAGACAACCAAAATGTCTTCTTACCCAAAGGACTCAAGCAACTCCTTGATCTGAGGCTCTGTCAGATAATAAGGCAAACCTCCAACAAAGATGCGATCAGGTCCATCAGCCCCCCCGGCAGCACTCCTGCATGATTTCGAACACAAATTAGCAAAACAATTTACAATTAAGGTATGTGTTTGGTGAAGGGTCCAAGCCTGGGTCGAGTAGTATACGAATACATCAAAAAATAAATTCCATAAAGGCAAAACACCCGATCACACTGATTTCTAAAGACCAGCCCAATATATATTTTGAGCCACTAACTATTAAAAATGTAAATAAAACTTCTACCACACTGAAACACACCACGCTATAATGGAAAATTTTAAACCGCATCAAACAAAAATCCGATAATGCTAGCTGACGATTGAATGTATAAAAAACATACCCAGGAGTTAGGCCAACTGCGGCAAGATTGAGATGTGGACTAGGTTGACTTGGACCTAGAGTCGCAGCCATGGAAGGATTGTAATCACTTGGCCTTCTCACTCTAACTGAGACACCCTGTAATACCAAATCCAGCAGAATATCACTTTCTTTTTTCTTCTCAATTTAAAATAAGCATGACTACAAATCTGCGTGGCAAATGTTCCGACAGTGATAATCATGCGGTAGAACACTGGTGCAGAATTCGAAAATAATCTGAAGGACGATGCTAAGTGGAGAAATAGAGCAGAAATACCTCAAAAATAATGCCATCCAGAGACATTGCATTGCTAGCTTCTTCGACAGTGCGCATCTCGACAAATGCAAACTTTTTTTCTTGATTGATATACACGTTCACAACAGCATCGCCTAAGGTAATAAAAAAATAACTTCGAAAGATCAGTTGCCAAATCATCACACATCGCAGTGAAACCTACGAGTAGTAACAAAAACAAGATGGCAGCCACTACAAAGACATCATCTACTACAATCACCACAGACTAAACAATGAACAGAAATATAGTCCTGATAACTTTATTTCCTACAAGAAGATGTTTGAAATACCCTCCTTCGCCCGAAAAAAATAAGATGTGCAAAGAACACTGAACCTGGCCCAGCAGTATTTCCTCCAACAGCAGCCATCACCTGACTGAAATAGGTTGCAATAGTCTACCAGGACAATTGAGAAAAAAATAAAAATCAGAAACGGTGACAAGGAAGAAAAGATTGTTACGTATAACATTCTTCATCTAGTACAATATTACGTATGTGTTAGTAAAGGACATAAGGTTCATACAGCGAAAACGATTCCGGTTAATGGAAACAAATGAACTCGTAAGGAGTTCATGATCAGCTTACGACGTAATAGAAAACCAAAAGTGCACTCACTTGTTCATTCGCCATAGGTGGAAGACCGCCAACATATACTCGACGAGCATGCCTAGTTGCCTGCTAAAAGAAACATCCACAATCCCAATATGACATTAATAAACCATAATATCGAGCACTTTGGTTCTGACCCTTCAAGTTCATACGGAGAGACAGTCAGGTAGTAGGAATTTCGGAAATGAATTCCACATTGATTCAGCAGCTTGGTATTGCTCCAGCTAGGAAACACTAAGATCTTGCACACATAGCGAAGTAAACGAACTTGCATGATGCAATTGAACTTCGATTTCACCACAGAAGAACACTAATAAGGATTCCTTTACTTGAGACATTTGGTGACCCGAATAGCATTCAGCAAAAAGAAGCACAATCACCTGTTGCGTCATAGCTTGTGCTGGCATTCCAGGAAGACCTCCAAACTGCTCGACCACCCAGATAATTAATTATTTCGGTAGCCAAGAGGACTCACCTCTGTCTAATACAGAAAGGCAACTCATCATTACAATAACTGACCATCGCATGTACAGTCAAAAACTTAGAGGATGCAGACAGCGTTAGAAACACATGCCTGTGCACCACCAAAGGGGAACATTGATGGAAAGACTCCAGGCATTTGTGGAGGCATTCCAGAAATTTGACCTGATAAAGTAGAATCAGTGTGTCAGCTAACTAGACTTTGTGCTCTAACGTTGCAAGTCCAACACTAAAGATAAAACTAACCTACCAATGACTCCAAATTTTGTAAAAGAGATGAAATCGGTGCCACTATATGAAAGAATGTACAAACCTGGTACTGCAGCACCAGGGACAATTGTGCCACCTGGAGGAGCCATATCAAATCCGCTTGTTTTTCTGCAATAAAACCAAGCCAGGATATTAACATTGTATGCCACTGAGTAAACATCTGGAAGTGTACGGATATATTCTCGTCAGAGCACCACCTTATAAGATTGCGCGAGGTTGAATTATGAAGAAACTCTAGTATCGTACGGCTGAAGGTTAAACTCAGGTCATTGTGTGTCACGTTTACCTTCTGCGGTCACGAGAAGGAGATCTTGAAAGAGAGTTAGAACGAGACCGATGCCTGTGTCTCCTATCTCGATCACCATAGTCGCGACTTCTTCTGGAATTATTTCATACATACACATCAGCTTCGACACGAAAGCCATTCACCTCGAAAAGAAAAAGAAAAAAATATAGCCACAAACAAATCTAGAGTGAACAAAGAAATTCAGCAAAAAGTGAAGTGATAAGTCCAAGCATTTATTATAGTTACTATCTTAAAAGAAGAGTCCAAAATCATCTGGCACCCCTGTTAATCATGTAATGAGATAGTAATACAATAATCATTGTAGTTTCCGAAAAGAATTAGGAACCTACCTGTCTCGATCATGGCTACGATGACGCTCTGACCAGTCTCGGTCTCCTTGGTCTCCTCTCTCTCCTCTGTCCCTCCTGTCTCTGTCACGATCTCGGTCATCTCGATGGCGACGATCTTTGTCCTTATCCCGACTTATTTCTCCATCTCTGCCAGATTCGCGAGAATGATGCTGCACCAAAGCAAAAGAAGACAAGTATTCAATCGAGTGAGCACAAGAAAAGCAAACTGAAACCATCTTCATCACAGTATAGCGTTCCTGTTGTGGAGATGAATCAGTAAATACAATGTTGATCGGTTAATCAGAACATGACTATCAAAAGCCACTGCAAATCATCAAAGTAATAAAACAAACCTGTCCACCTTAACACGATTGCCCAGTATGAGAAAGGATGGAAGGAGACCCACGCTTACATTTCACTAATCCTGACAGTCACCTCCAATGACACGATGTTAGGAAACCTAATGGAGTAGATCCAAGCCTTTTTTCCGCTATTAATAAAAAAACGTGATGGAAAATATCTACAAATACTGAGCTGGCAGCGATATAAAGCCAGAGTGCGACACAGGGTTAGCCCAGATGTCCAACACAAGCCAATAGATATTAATATCTTAGAACAATTGCATCAATCGGAGCAATGAGGTGATGAAGACATCTATACAGAGATCTCTGAAAAAGCCGCTGATGTGAGGATAAGGCAAATCTCCATTAACCTTTACTCAATAACAGTGCTCTTTTTAGCCATTCTTCCAAACTACGCACATGAAGGAACAACATAAGCACCAACGGTATCAATAAAATAAAGAGAAAATGGTGTGAAACTACATCCTCAAGAGCAACAAGATACTCTGCTATGGCATACGTAGAACACAAGTTGTTCTGGATATCGAACGATTTTTTAGTTTTTTTTTTTTTTTTTTTTTTTCTCCTCCGTCTCCCTTTAAACTATAGCGTGATAAGCGAAAATGTATGCCTTAAACCGGGCTAAAATGAACAATTCATATAACAGACGAGTTCACGATTCCATATTCCGGGGCTGAGAAGGAGGTTGATTTGAGGAGATATTGGGTTTGAACCAAGAATCTAAATAAAAGCAGTCATGTTAAAGCCAGGATTATTACATAGCCATATCCACACTCGCCTCTGTCCACATGTATTTGTGCACAAAAGCAAAATTCCTAGTATTCACACCTCCGGATTACTGCAGGACTAGATAATCATCTGGCAAACAGACTGGGGTAGAACTAGAAAATTCCTGTAAAACCTAAACCTTGGGTGGGCTGTTGTAACAGAAGAAGCTAATTTCCCAAGGAATCTTGACAACTCTCCTACAATATTAAAGACACTACCTCAGAAAGTTTGGGCGATATTATGAATGCTCAATTACCATATTTGTAATTTCCAAATATCGAAAAATTCAACAGATTACCACTTTCATGTCGAAGAAAGATAAGAAACAGAGGATGAGGAAAGCACTGATTGGGGTAGAGGGGGAAAGACGAGGTATTCTCACCAAAATACAAAAAAAACAAAAAAAAAACAAATAAACAAAAAAACTAACATACAAACAATCATACAAACAAACAAACGGCTCAAAGCCGACTTTCAATTCCAAATTCAGAAACGGCAGTCCCCTAATCAACTGCAACTTACGTCGGATGCATTCTACACCCCGTGGACACACGAAAAAACACTCCCAACACAGCCCGATAGCTATCACGTAAACCACAAGACCCGGACCAACACATCACAATCCCCCCCCCCCTCTCCCAAAAAAAAACCATACAAGCAAGGGTTCAGACCCATTCAGAGAACAACACGACAAGAGTCCAGGCAATACCTCACGCCTCCGAGCTCTACTGCCGTTTTCGCGATGATCGTCAAAACCATGGTCTGCGCGGCTGTGCGACCCAGAACGCAGCCTAGGCGAATCCCCATTGTCGTTCGGCCCCGCCTCGTCTGCCATGGCCTACAACAACGTGCTCGAAGCCAGACCTTCCGTCTGACTCACTCACTCGCTCGCTCGCTCTGCCGCCTTGCGGTGCGACGATGCGCTAGTTCGCAATGCACAGAAGAGAATGGTAGCTATGGCGGAACCCTAAAGCACAGGGAGTGGTGCCACCAATTTGAGCGAAGAGCGAGGACACTGCTTCCAAAGACCAGCTACTCTCCGGGGTTGAAGACTCACCACCCCCCCCCCCCCCCCCCAGTCTCAAGTCTGTTGCCCCGATCCCTGTTCCCACTCTGCTCCAACTGTGCCCATTCTCACCGTGTGAAAATGGCTCTTTCTAGTCAAGGGCGATTTTACTAGTGTGGCTTAGTAATTAGTATAGGCGAAGAGACATTTAGGGTTCGCTTTCTGCTTAACATTGTGAATTAAATTTATGTGCGTAATTCATGACCTTTGACGTTATATCGTTTAAAATTGAGCTGGATTTTTCTAAGCGGTGCCAATGCGAATTCTGAATGGAGCATTTTTCAATTCTCGCCATTTGCTGGTATTATGAAAATATTTTTAGTACGTAAACAGCTAAAAATGTTTTCATATTCAAATTCAAAATTTTGAAAAATTTATCATGTAATTAAAATGTGTACTGAAAATAATTTTATGAGAGACTTTTTTTTCTTCAGATTTTGTAAATATTTTCATAAAATCAAATAAAATCAAATCTTGAGTATTGGAATGTATTATATTGTAATCATTTTTATATTTTGTAATAATATTATTGTTGCCTTTATATTGGATAATGTGAACATTGCTTGAGAAAAAAATACATACTATCACAAAAAAATATATAAATTTTAAATACAAATTAATAATTTATTAAAAAAGTAATAATGGTTTTTTAAAAATAAGAAAATTATATTTGAATTTTTATAAGTAATAATACAAACCAATCATATAAATTTAAAATTTGTATTTTATTACATAAAAAAATAAATATATTTATTATTAAAAGTCTTTGAAAAATATCAATTTATTTTCAATAAGATTATTTAAATCCTATCATATGCATTGCATCACATTACATCAAATAATGCATTTTTGAAGCCACCGCAATTAGTAATAGTTTTATTAAAAAATTATCTATATTATTATTTTATTTTTGATTATATCTATATCATAAGCTAAGATAAATTATAGAAATATTAAATATAAAAATAAACACTCTTGAGTAAAATGAATTTGAAACATATTTGAAGAATTGTTAAAACTTCTTTAAAATATATATATATATATATATATATATTAAAATGCTCTTGGAATTAATTCTTAAAAATTATCCAAAGATCAAAATATATTTTTTAAATTTTATTTCAATTAGTAAATCCTTCAAAACTTATACTTTGTATAATATACCCAATGTCACATAAATACATATTTACCTAAAAAAGAAGTACTCAATAGAAGGTAAATATAGGTAGATTTGATATTATTTTATAGCAAAGCTTTTAGAAGCTTCATAAATACATATTTGACTTTATGATCTTCTTGTTTTTACCAATAGTGTCACGGACATACATATAATTACCTATATGAATAGATAAAAGTATGTAAAAGTAGATAAAAGTAGGTTAATTGTGTAATATCTTCTAGAGAAGCTTCTTAGAAGCTTCATAGACGCTGCTTTGACTTTATAGGAGTCTATAGTTGACTTTTAGGTTAGAAACTTGGTCAACAAGTTAGCCATGTGCCACACATGTTGGAAGCTTAAAGAACAAGCTAACTACGTGGTCCATCCATAGAAAACTTGCCTTGCAAGCAAAGGCATGTGGCCTAGAAAGTCAACATATATTGGAGGTCTTATAGAACATCGCCACGTGGCTTCTAGTTAGATAGTATATATAGAGGCAAGAGTGAAGCCCTCTTCACTCTTGTCAACTCCTTTCTTGCTTCTAGTCTAGTTTCAAGGGTCTCTAATTTTCTTGTATTTTGGCAATAGCCATTCCAGTTTCTTTCTTAATATACATATTTCTATTTTGTCCTATTTCTTTTTGAGAAAAGTCTCACTTACTCTTTAGCTTTCATCGAGTTCTTGTCCTTGACAGATTGACAAGAGTGCACTTACAATATCAGAGCTTTGTCTTTTCTTGATTAAGAGTGGATTACCCATTTTTTTTGATAAGACATAAGCGCATTAGAAGTTGCGGATTACCCTCTTTTAAACTGATATTGTTCTTAGTATTTTCTTTGTTATCAATTCCTCTCTTCTATTTGTTTTGAGCGTTATTAGACATCTTCTCTTTTCTAAGTGCTACTATGGCAGAGCTTGTTGAAATGAAGAGTGCAATGGCACAGATGCAAGAACAATTGAGGGAGTTAATGCTTGCGATGCATCAACTCAATTTACCACCACAAGGAGCAACAAGAATGGTAGGAAGTGAAGATATAGAGATGATTGGGGCTGCTTCAACATCTGCACCAAACCATGTCCCTTCTCCCAGAATGGAACACCCTTCGAGTGTTAGAGAACCAAGAGTTGCCTTGCCCGAGAAGTTTGATGGTACCAGATCCAAGTTTCGAGGATTCATCAATCAGGTCCAACTAGTGATTGAACTTCAACCCCAGAGCTATCCAACTCCAGGGTCACAAGTTAGATTCATTGGTACACTTCTTTCAGGTTCAGCATTGCCATGGTTTTCATCTTTTCTTGAACGACGAGATCCAATATTGGATAATCTGGAGGCTTTTTTGACGGAGTTTCGATCCATGTTTGGAGAACATGATGCAATTCGTGTTGCAACCAACAAGATCCGTATTTTGCGACAAGGCAATCGATCAGTAACATTATATGCTTCGCAATTTCGACAACTTGCAACTGATATCAAGTGGGATGATGCCGCACTTGTGAGTCAATTTCTCTACGGATTACAATATGAGGTAAAGAAATTGATGCTTAATTTACCTGATCCTCAAACATTGAGTCAAGCAATTGACTTTGTTGTGAAGTGCGACAATCGACTTTTTGAATTTCGATCCGAGAGTCGCACAAGTGGGCCTCAACGTTACTACAATTCAATGGCAACACCGACGTCTCCTCAACACATACCTTCAGAAGTAGAGGATATGCAAATTGATGCGGTACGTTTCAAACCTCTTACTGAGCAAGAAAAGTCTCGTCGTCGACAAGAAGGATTGTGCTTATATTGTGGAGAACCTAAGCACACTGCTCAACATTGTCCAAAGAAGCGACGCAACTACAAAATGAGGAGTACGGCTGTCAAAGAAGACAGTATGTCGGAAAACGAGTACGTCCAGCTACAATAGGGACCGTGCGGCTGGAATCTTGTACAACTTCTAATGAAGGTCCTATCCTCTCCTCAGAACCATCTCCTTGTTTTATAATAGATGTGCGTTTAGGACCTAATAATTACAAAGCCTCTGCCTTGGTAGATTCAGGAGCCTCATCTTGTTTTTTAGATGAAGAATTTGCTAGATGTCATAGAATATCATTAATACAAAAAACTAAACCTGTACACGTAGAAGTCATAGATGGTCGTCTGTTGTCTTCTGGAGATGTAACTCACGAAACACTTCCTGTAGATGTAGTAATAAATGGTCATAGTAGTTGCGTAATTTTTAATATAATTAGATCTCCCTCTAATCCAGTAATTTTAGGCTTATCATGGTTAGAAAAGTATAATCCTCGAATAGATTGGATTTCTCGTAAACTTGATTTTCCTCAGAGCATTAGTAACAGTTCTATTAATCAAGTAAAAAACCATGAGTCTAGTATAGTAAAACCCGCACTTATAGGTGCAAAAGCATTTATACACGCAGCAAAAGAAGGATCAACTTTTGCTATTTATGCTGCACCTATTTCTGAAAGCGTAAAGACTTCAAGTGGCATTCCAAGTCAATATCAGGATTATCAAGACGTTTTTGAGAAAAAGAATGCAGATATTCTTCCTGAGCATCGCCCATACGATTGTTCAATCGATCTCAAGGAAGGAACTCTGCCACCATTTGGACCAATTTACAGTTTATCGCAAGATGAGTTGGCTGAACTCAAGACATATATTGACGAGAATTTAGCAAAGAATTTCATACGCCATTCAAAATCTCCAGCAGGAGCTCCAATTTTATTCGTAAAGAAAAAAGATGGATCTTTACGAATGTGTGTTGACTATCGAGGACTCAACAAGATCACAATCAAGAACAGGTATCCATTACCTTTGATATCAGGACTCCTTGACCAGTTAAATCAAGCTAAGATCTATACAAAAATAGATCTAAGAGGAGCATATAATCTAGTACGGATCAAAGAAGGAGATGAATGGAAGACTGCGTTTCGAACCAGGTACGAGCATTTTGAATATAATGTCATGCCTTTTGGACTCACGAATGCACCAGCTGCTTTTCAACATCTCATGAATGATGTATTTCGTGAATCCTTAGACAATTCTGTCGTCTGCTACCTAGACGATATCCTGATTTATTCTAAGAATGTTGAAGAACATGAAATACATGTTCGTCAAGTATTACAAAAACTCAGAGATGCAGGATTGTACGCCAAGATGGAAAAGTGTGTATTTCACACTACTCAAGTTGACTTTTTAGGATACATCATTTCAAATGATGGTCTTATGATGGATTCTAAGAAAGTCCAAACAATCATGGATTGGAAGATTCCAAAGACTGTAAGAGATGTCCAATGTTTCTTGGGATTTGCCAATTACTATCGGATCTTCATCAAAGATTTCTCACGAGTTGCAGCTCCACTTACACGCTTGACTAGTAAAGATAAATTCCAATGGAATCAAGAAGCGGAAGCAGCATTTGAAGCCTTGAAGACATCGTTTGTCTCTGCACCAGTCTTATATCGTGTTGACTTTTTCAAGGTATTTTTTATGGAAACAGACGCATCGGATTTTGCCTTGGGTGCAGTTTTATCACAAATGGGAACAGATGACAAACTTCATCCCATAGCTTTTCATTCAAGAAAATTCTCAGCAGTCGAGATCAATTATGAGATCCACGATAAAGAACTTCTTGCAATCGTGGATTCCTTTCAAGAATGGCGTCATTATTTAGAAGGTGCTTCTAGTCCAGTCACTGTGTATACAGATCACAAGAACCTCGAGTATTTCATGTCAGCACGCGTGTTGAATCGTCGTCAAGCTCGTTGGAGTATGTCTTTGTCAAGATTCGACTTCATTA